CTTTCTTTTCTGAAATAAGAAATTCTTCCCCATTTGTTAACTTAAAGAACATACATACTTGGAAATTGATCTTTTAAAGGCACACTCCTTACCCAAACACATGTCAAAAAAGTATAACATCCCTTTTACCCACTTTTAAACGAAAATGATTTCTAAGATAATCCCCAAAAGCATCTTTAGCCAAACAACTTTTAACCACCCTTTCCAAATCCAAGAAGCTTTAGAAAAAACCCGATTTCTTGACTGAAATAGCCCTCGGATCCACATCATTCTTGCAGCAAATCACCCTTTTTCACTATGAATTAGATTCACTTGCAAATCTCCACGACCATTTGCCCAAGAGCGCTCTATTCAACAAATTAAGATCAGTAATCCCTAAACCCACTAGATCCTTAGGCTTACAAACAGATGACCAATTGACCTAATTGATCTTTCTCTTACCATTCAAACCTCCCCATAAAAAATTCGTCATAATTGAATTCGATGACAACCTGAAAATAGACAAAAAATAAATAGGCAGTGAGCATAAAACCGATTTAATCAATACCACCCTCCCTGCAAGAGAAAAGGAAGCCATTGATTATTAACATTTAACGAAAAAGGTAGCGTGATGCATAAAGAAATTCATATAATTATACATTTGATACTTGTTAATTATATATTCTATCAAATTATTATTAATTGTAATAAATTAAAATAAGGATAAACTATACTATTAACCACCTAACTATTTAGCCCTTTTACTTTTACCACCAATCTTTCAATTTTGTCAATCAGACCGCCTAACTATTTAATTATATTCAATCAAGCCACTTGCACCTAACAATTATTATTTAATTAAAGTGTTGACGTTAACAAAATTGGTATAATTATACATTTGATCATCAATACTTATATATTTTATCAACTTGGTCCTAGTTTTAATTTAATTAATAAATTTAATCCTCTAATAAGATTTTGACATGTGTTACAAAATAATTGGAGGGTATTTTCTTAATTTCAATTATTTTATTTTTCACCCAATCAAATAATGACACGTGTCACTATCATATTGAATAAAAAATAAATAGAAATATGAAGTGAGAGGGTTGGAATTCAAACCTAGGTTAATTGGAAGGTATATCAACACCTACACCACCAAGCTAAATCCACTACCTGGTTTTAATATGCATCATTTACAATATAACATATTATATTGAACGCATGGAAGTTAGGGAAATTTACACCTGAACATCTAGATAGATTGGCTGCACCTTAGCCACCAAACCAAATCATAGGATTGGAAAAATTAACATTAATTTGTGTATATATCTTTAAATTAAATATTTTTAATTTAAAAAATAATTTTAAATTTTTAAAAATATTTTCATATATATGTATATATATATTTGGAACTGTTTTTTTTTTAAAAGTGAATTCATACATTTTTAATAAAAATAATATATAAAATTATTAATAAAAAATTAAAATTATTATAATAAGCTAAAAAATATAATTTAATGATTATATATATAAATTATTGTTAATTTTATCAAATAATTTAAGTTTTTCTAAATAATTTTGAGTTAAAAATATATATGAAATTATTAATAAAGATTCTAAAATTTTTACTTAAGTTAAAAAGATTTAATTATTTTTTTACACTAAAAGTTTAGGTAAGGAGTAGCTTCACATTCTAAGGTCAGGACATACATAAGACCCAATTGAGATTTACATAGGAATTTATAAATTATTCACCAAGAGTGACAGTAGTAGGATTCGAACTTGGCCTTACAAGCTCAAATTCTTAAACCCAACCACTTGTGCCAACACTCGTTGGCATTTATATGAAATTATTAACAGAAAATTAAAAGCATTACTTCCTTTTTTCTGCCATTAATAAGATTATGTTATATTTGAAATGATGAAATTATATCCAATTAAGGTGTTTGTCTTAGTGGTTTAGTTGCTGAAATGTCTTCACAAAGGCGCCTAGGTTCGAGTTCCATCCTTCTTAGCCATTAATTGCTTCTATTGATTTTCCATGTTTACTGTCTATTTTTCTGCCATCCGGTATATATGTTATATTATATATGAAGCATTTTAAAGCTAAGTAACGAGTCTTGCTCAATGGTTTGGGTGCGTATTTATCCCCCAAACAACCCAAGTTGAAATCCCACCCGTATCACCTTTATGTTGCTTATTCTTCCACTAATTTTCTATCTAATCCGATGGTGATATGGGTGGAAAATAAAATAAAATAATTGAAAATAAAATAATTGAAATTAAAAACGCCCCTCCAATTATGTTGTGATACATTTCAAAATCTGAATTCAATTAAAATTAAAATCAAATTAATAAAATGTAGAAGTATTAAGGATCAAATATAAAATTATACCATTTTTGTTAAGTGTTGAAAAAAAATTGAAATTAAATTCATTTTAGTACCCGTTAAAAATTTAATGTTAAGTCTTGTTAAGTATATAATTATACCAGTTTTGCTAAGTATTAAGGACTAAATTAATAAAATGTATAAGCATTAAGGACCAAATATATAATTAAATTAAATTCATTTTAGTACCCGTTAAAAATTTAATGTTAAGTTTTGAAAAAAATTGAAAATTTAGGTACTAAACATGTTAAGTTTTTAACACGAGTATCACCTTTGTAGTGCTTATTCTTCTACTAATTTTCTATATAATCTGATGGTGATATGGGTGGAAAATAAAATGATTGAAATTAAAAAAATACCCTCCAATTATGTTGTGATACATTTCAAAATCTGGTTAGATGTTTAAATTTATTAATTCGATTAAAATTAGGACCAAATTAATAATATGTATAAATATTAAGGACCAAATATAAAATTATACCAATTTTGTTAAGTTTTGAAAAAAATTAAAATTAAATTCATTTTAGTATCCGTTAAAAATTTAATGTTAAATCTTGTTAAGTATATAATTATACCAGTTTTGTTAAGTATTAGGGACTAACTTAATAAAATGTATAAGCATTAAGGACCAAATATATAATTAAATTAAATTCATTTTAGTACCCGTTAAAAATGTAATGTTAAGTTTTGAAAAAATTTAAAGTTTAGGCACTAAAACAGACCAAAATTGATAATTTATGTACTAAACACGTTAAGTTTTTAACGCATGTACTAAAATGAAATAAAAAAACTAAATGTTAAATATGATTTTTTTTAAAATGAAAGTTTATATACTAAAACATAATAAAACTAATAGTTTAGGTACTAAACACTTAGTTTACCCCTTTTTATTAGTATTAGTTGATTATAATGTAGTATATGTTCAAAACTTTCTTAACCTATTGACAACGCTCACACACCTTACAAACACAACTGTTCAAACTTAAAACCTCTGATAAAAATAACATTATTTTTTACCACTCAATCCACTTCACGACTTAACATCTATACTCTTCTTATTACATTTATACATTGACTTAATACCAAAATAAGTGTCTAAACTATACCTTAAAAACCAAATAGGTGTCTAAACTAATTTTGTCTCATCCAGATGTCTAACTTTATGCCGTCAACGGTGTTAATTTATGCCGTTAAATGACACGTGTCACAATCTAGTGATTTTGAAATTTATTTATTTTTAAATAAAATATTAGCAATATTATGATATTTATAAGAAAAAACACACTAACTTTTATAATATTATAAAACTGCCCCAAAATACCAAATCCAAACCTTAATCCGTTGTCGCCACCCTTTTTGACCACGACCACTGCCACCAACGTAGTCCTTATCATCCTCCTACTCATAAATCGTCGTAGTTTCTGTCGATTAGCCATCAAAATCACATGGGATCATGATTTCCTAGGGTTCGGGCGGTTTAAAACGTTTATTCTTCGTCGATAGGTCGTCGATCGGTCATGATTTCATGGGGCTTTTGGTCGGCGGGGGAGGGGAGGTTGGGTGGAGCTTCGTCGACGGAAAAAGGCAACGGTTGGCATGGTTTTAGGGGTTGAAATGAAGGTTTTCAAAATTTTGGGTTTATTTCAAAATTTATGTTTTCTGTTTTTTTAAATATATAATTTAAAATTTTTTAATTTTAAATATTTTTTTAAAAAATTATCAGGTTGTGACACATGTCATTTAACGGGGAAATTAACACTGTTACCGGCCCAGACACCTAAATGGATAATGTTTAAAACGTTAAGCACCTGGATGAGACGAAAATTAGTTTATGCATCTATTTGAGAAAATGAGTATAGTTTGGGTAGTTATTTTGGTATTAATCCTTACAAATTCTATTTAAAAAAAATACCACGTTTCAACATGCAAACATATATGGATTAAAGCCAAATCAACCACAACCAGCTAGGGATGGGCACAGCACCCGTTTTGGTCAATTTGATCCGATTCGAAAATTTTATATCCTCTACTCGACTCGATCCGACCCAAAAATTTTACATCCTCCACTCGATTAAACTCAACCTGAATTTTTGAGATAAAATCCCAACACGACCCGACCCGACCTGAAAATAATATATTTACTAACAAATATTATTTTTATTTATAAAAATAGTGATTTAATTAAAAATAATAATGTATAGATGATATTATTATAATTATCCCTAAATATATAACTTAAAATTATATTTTTTTCTAGGTTGTGTATTTTTCACTCTAAATCTGAACCCGACCTGACCCAAACACATCCTTTACAAACTCGACCCAACCTAAACCCGAATTAAAAAAAACAGACTCAATCTAGTCAAATCAAATCGAAAACCGTCGGATTTGGGTCCCATGCCCATCCCTACAACCAATATATACTCCCGAAACATACATTTTTAGCATCAAGTTATAAATAAATCATGATTTAATGTCAATAAACTCAAATATGAAGCTTAAATATTAAATTGTTAAATAGATAGGGACTTCTGACATATTTATTTAAGTTAATGAGAGGAGATGCAGTTTATATAGAGTTGAGAGTTAAGACAGCTGCCTCTCACGAATCTGGTGAAAGGAAAAGAATAAAAAACGAGGAGGAGAAAGGAGACACGAAGCCGGAATTAAAGAAAGTCAACAGTAAGCAAAAGGTAAAGATCCGATCTTACATCTACACATACAAATTCATCGCGTAGGAGTTGTAGTCCTCGAGCCCAATTAGATTTGCTCGATTTTAGCTAGAATTCTTATGAAATGGCTTCTGGATTCTGCGTTAGATTCAAGTTTAAGAATTGTTCTTAACAAATCCAGCTTTAATTTTTTTAGGCTTAATATAAAAATAAGCGCGTCAACTGAACCTAAAATTAATTTTTCGTGTCTAAAGAATTTTTCGTAAAAAAATAAGTTTCCGTCCATATTTTTAAATAATATATTATTTTTTTAAAAATCTTGACGTGACATGTATCACTTAACGAGTTTTGTTTAACGATAAACACCTAAAAATATAACGAAGAAAACTTTAGACATATAATTTTAACGAAAAATTCTTTAGGCACTAAAACGTTTTTTAAGATATTCTTTATGCACTTATTTTTGAATTAAGTCTTTTTTTTATTCATATTTCTGAATTGTTCGCTTTTGCATGTATCTAGATGTTAGGGTAAAGTAAATAAATGTTTTCCAACCAACTATAGAGTGTTGTTATGTTGAGTCTTCTAACTATTAAAAGTTACAAAATGATCCTATGACTACAAGGTGCTACTTTGTTGAGTCCCTCGACTATTGAAAGTTACAAAATAGTCAACCGACTATTCATCTGTTCCAAAAAACTTATTATTTTTCGATAAAAAATTAACGGCTGTCTGAGCTAGACGTAAACTTGTTGACTTTGATATAATAAAATCTGATCTCATGACCATTTGAATTGTATAGTCGTTTGAGATTTTGGGATCAGATTTTATCATATTTTAGTTAGCAAGATAATGTCTAACACAAATGACCATTAAATTTTTAACGAAAAATGACGATTTTGAAATATATGAATAGTCGGATAATCATTTTATAACTTTCAATAGTCGAGGGGTTCAACAGGGTAACACCCTATAATCGGGGACTATTTTGTAACTTTTAATAGTCGAATGATTCAATAAAGTAGTGCCCTTTAGTCGAGGGACCATTTGTGTACTTTACTCTAAATTTTAATATACAAGACCCGGGGCACAAAAAATAAGAAATTTGCGTATTCGTCAAGTTTCAGATTCTCTTTGAATTTATATAATTGCCTTTTTATATAAATTTTCGTGTAAAGTTAGTCTTTTGTTGTAAATCTTACATTTATCTTCTTACTTTGTTATTGATGTGTTTTAGGTTTCGTGTTTTCTTAACTGGGATTTGAAGAGAGAATGGCTAAATTTTCGTGTAAAGTTAGTCTTTTGTTGTAAATCTTACATTTCTCTTCTTAATTTGTTATTGATGTGTTTTAGGTTTCGTGTTTTCTTAACTGGGATTTGAAGAGAGAATGGCAATGGAATACGAGAGCCACAATTGGGTTTGGGATGTGTTGTATTACTGCCCACGTCTGTTCAGTGGCTTAATGCTAACGGCTGCCTTGCTTGGTTTGTCCACCACTTATTTCGGAGGAATTGGACTTTTCCCATTGTCATATGTTTGGTCAGATTCAGGGGTCTTCCACAAGAACAAGTGTGAGAAGAAGCACATTCGGGTTTACATGGATGGCTGTTTTGATCTCATGCATTATGGCCATGCTAACGCGTTGAGGCAAGCAAAGGCTTTGGGAGATGAGTTGGTGGTAGGTGTTGTAAGTGATGAGGAGATTATTGCTAATAAAGGCCCTCCTGTTCTGCCCATGGACGAGAGGTACTAATGCGACTCTGTTTTTTCATTTGATATTCTGATTTGATTTTATGTACTTCATTTATGCCTTGTTCTATTTGTGTTCTATACGTGTAGCCACTGCTCTGTTTTGAATCTTCTTTAACTGTGTTTAAGTTCAATCACATGGGTAGCATTCACAATATCTTGGATTATTAATAGAAGTTCTGAAGACAAGTAGAGCTCAGAGGACTCTGATGTCCTCATATATGAAAGAATATATTTGTTGAAAGATAATAGTGAGGAAAATGACTTTATACAAATATGCGCACGTATGTTTGCATGCATGTGTGTCTTCGTCTAAATGTGAAAGTATGAGAATTAAAAAGCCAAATAAATAAATAGTGACAGATATAGATCCTTTAAATCGAACTTTGTTATGCATGTTACATCAGTTAATGAACAACATGGATTGCAGAGGCTAGTTATCTGGTGCAACTGTTTCATTTTCAAGAGCATGCAGGCTAGAAGGCTTGATACACTAAATTGTGAGGGATTATCTTTTCTTTTAACTATTAAGCTGTATTGAAATTAGTATATATCGTGCGATAAAATTCTTAACTTTCAACTTAATTCATATTTGTGCTGGTCTCCCCCTTGATGGTTTGTTTGTCAACTCGATGCTGTCAGTGGGATTTTTGTGATTAATAATGTATGGTTCTGTGGGTCTCATTGATGTTCTCTCCAGGCTGGCACTTGTCAGTGGATTAAAGTGGGTGGATCAAGTAATAGCAAATGCTCCTTATGCAATTACTGAACAATTCATGAACAGTTTGTTCAACGAGCATAAGATTGACTATATAATACATGGTGATGATCCTTGCCTCCTCCCGGATGGATCTGATGCTTATGCCTTGGCAAAGAAAGCTGGCCGCTACAAGCAGATTAAGCGCACTGAAGGTGTCTCCAGCACTGATATTGTTGGTAATAAAAATTCTCTTGATATGTGTTTAAGATTCCATTTGTTGGAAGTCGGAACCCTTCTCTTTTACTAGCTTCTGTAAATTTCAATCATTTCTAATTATTTCGCTAATTATATGTACGCAGGAAGAATACTTTCTTCTCTAAAGGATACTGAAGAAGGTGGACATACCACTAGCACACTTTCAAATGGAGATTTAGGTGAAAGACATCGGTCACAAAGGGGTCAGATTTCCCAATTCCTACTAACATCTCAGCGGATTGTTCAATTTTCAAATGGCAAGGTCAGATTTGGTTTCTCTATTTGTCAGCCTGAAAAGGAGAAAGAATGAAAGATGTCTACCATTTGAAAATGTTGAGTGGTGTGTTTCCAATACAGGCAATTTTTCTCCTATTTTATAATTATACGCTTGGTGAGAGAAAATGATGACCAATGCCTTGTGAAAAATTCCTTTCGGATTCGGCTATCTTTTGGTGGGATAAAAAAATAAGAGAAACTAAGTTTCGTATCAAGGATCCTCCTGAAGTTTCTTCAAGAATAGCTCATTGATATTGATCTTGATTTGAATTTATAATTTTAGGTAGCGTGAACATGGAATAAAGAGTGCGATATTTAAAATTTGTTACCAAGAAAGAGTTATAGCCTCAAAACCTCCAAAGTGCTTGGCGATCCTATTACAAAAGTTATACTAGGCTTGCCAAGTTATACTAGGCTTGCCAAGTTATACTAGATTTTCCAAGTTAATTTTTGTAAATGCATACGAAGTGTTAATTCTTTATCTCCTTTGGAAGTTGCAATAACAAGAAATCGATATTTTTCATCATTTCTCTTCAAATGAGGCTGTCTGAACTACCCGTTTACCATATTTTCTTCTTATGACCAAACTGGTTAACTGCCCTCTGGCTTATAATCCCCTTGCATATGTTTTATTGAAGAATTGTTCTGTAGCATCATGAATGTAAAAGTCCGGATAAAATGCTTAGGTAAATCTTTTGCATGAAAGATGATTTTTGGGAAGTTAATTTAAAGCAATCCGTTGGAGAGACTTTGAAGTATAATAGGGATCAACGGTCTGGTGCATTTTCTCTCTTTTCTAGTTCTTTTTCATCTCACTGATAACAATATTGCTTCGAATGGCCTAAATTTCCGTGTTAAGTGAATTCCCTTGCACAATGGCTGCCTAAAATAAACCTTTTTGAAAAAAGTTCAAGAGCTATTTTCTTCTTTATCAGATGTGTGTGTGGGTGGGTTTGGTTGGGGGGGGGGGGGAGGGTTATGGATGGAGGTGGTGCGTTCCCTTTCTTTTGCTTTCTTTCTCCCTTTATTTGTAGTGTTTGTTTGTGTGGATACGTGGATCTCTTTCCATCTCAGTCATTCAGTTTTTTCTCAGGGACCTGGACCAAATGCTCGCGTTGTATACATTGACGGGGCATTTGATCTCTTTCATGCTGGGCACGTGGAGGTATTCCTTTTGACACTTCCAATTTTCTTTTTTCTTATGTTATTATGATAGCATAAATTTGGTGATTGCTCTTAGTTAGATCCACATTTTTTTATTCCAACCTCACCATAAGCATTCATAAAGAGACAAGTCTCATTGTAGCCTCTTTTAATACACGTTGTTGCAAATTTTGAGCATAGCATATTCTTAATTGGCTTAGATACCAATGTCTGCATATATGAACTGAGTATCTAGCTGATGTTATTGCTCTATGGTGACGATATAAAAACCCGATTGAAACTTTAATCTTGATGATAACTAAATTAACAGATGCCTATCCTGTAATGAGGATCCTTTTTTTTTTATCAGAATTTAAATTAGAGTGGCAAGCGAAGTTCTGTTCAGCAGCTGGTTGTTAATGGAGCTTAAACTATTTAATAATTTAGGTTGGCACTTTTGAGATATTCAAAGACATTTAAGTTGGAGGGACCCATGGAGGAAATAATTACTAATTAAAATGCCAGAAATTCTAAATTACTTCACTAAGTATACAATTTTACATCAGATACTGAAGGAGATCTTGCTTCTGCTAAATTATGTACTTCATTCTTTTGGTTTAGTGGTCCACCAACGTTGAGTGAAGTAGTTTTATATATGTAAGATTTAAGGTAGGTAAAATTCAAAAGGAATGTTAACACATACGATCAAATGGCAGATTACTATTAGAAAGCCCATTTTTTTTTTAAATGTAGTATTCTCTCTGTCTCTATTTTTTTTTTTTGAAAAAGAAGATGTGGTATTCTTCATCATATCTATCAAGCAACTAATAAATCCAAACTGATATGCATTGTCTTAACATTGAATAATACTTTGTATTAAGAACCTTTTCCCAATCAATAACATGGTAATCTGGATGGAGATATCTTCTGATTGACACTTCAGCGAAAAGGTTAATGATCCTCATTTTTAAAGGCTATTGCCTTAATAGGAAATTGATGTAGTGCTTCCTCCTCAATTAGCTGATGTTTAAATTCGTAATGGGATCGGAAAATGTGCTCATATACTCATTGGTTAATTAATACCAGCGTTTAGTGCTAAGAAAGCTTGTGAAGGAACTTAAACTACCGACATTGGCCAGGTCCTATGTAAGTGATGGACCATAAATCTTGGAAAGTCCTATGAAGCGTTGTGATTCTCTTGAGGATTAATGAAGCAAATAGAATCTGGAACAAAATCTTGGAGGTAACTGCTAGAAATACACAATTAGTCTTTGGAAATGGAAAAAAAGGTTCGGAGTAAGGAATGAGGACTGAAATGATGAGAATGAGTTTTTTTTTTTGGATAAAGAAATGAGGCCTCGTTAAAAACCCCTTCATAACCACTGTTGTACAAAAATACATCAGCGGATATTAGAAGGAGGAAAAGAGTGCCTCAAATGTTATTCCAAAAATAAATTACACTTCATACGACAGTCGGCTATTACAAACACCCCCAACTCTCTACAACCACACAATACTGAACTACTACCCTATACCCGTCTAAGCCAAGCTGCCTGCCTCCCAATTCACCGACCTTTTTACAAACCTTATAATAACACTATGCTTGAAAACAACACCGACAATTTCCTTAACTAGCTGTGAAAATACGGTAGGACACACTTCTGGATTCTTAATCCAATTTACTGCATTTGCTGAGTCAGTCTCTACATTAGCCGACCCTTGCCACACCACTCTGAATCCACAAACAAAACTAAACCAGCTTGGATGGCCTTCAATTCAGCTAAAATAGGGGGACCTGGACCGGCTGAAGCCGAAAATGAGCCCAAAACCTTGCTCTCTTCATTTCTTAGTATTCCCCCAATACCGCTGCTTTCCCAGTCTCTTTTTACTGCCCCATCCACATTAATTTTAAAGAAACCCATGGGAGGGGGACTCCACAAGACCGGTGAAAGATTAATCTTCATGGATGGGTTACTTGAATCAGCCAGCTTCGAGTCACCAACAAGGCAGTCAAAAAGAAGTGGAAAATGAGGAAATTTCGCCAAAAACCACGCCGCCACTCTATAACTAGATGAAAATAACAAATACTTAAGATCAATGTTTCCCTTCTCGAAAATCACATGGTTTTGACACTTCCAAATTGACCACATTACAGCTCCCGGAATAAAATTCCACATTATAGACTTTGGAGCAAGGTTTTCCCAAGACGATAAGAAGACATTAGGATGCTCTGGAAGGACCATGGATGTGTTCCACAATCTTAAGAAACACCCCCAAAGGCCCCACGCAATAGAACACGAAAAAAATAGGTGAGAAACCGTCTCTTGATGCAAACCACATAGCGGGCATAAAATGTTCTCTATCCCAGTAACACCACGCTTTAAAAGTTCAGATTTAATAGCCAATTTTTGATGCAAAACCTGCCACATAAACGCCTCCACTCTTGGGGTGGCATAACCGATCCAAACCATCTTCGACCAAATCAGATCTTCAACAGACCCTTCTGACAGTAATTTAACACATGATTTTACCGAATAAACGCCTTCCCCATTCCCCGTCCATACACATTGATCATTCGCATCATTCCGAATACTCGCGTTGCTTAAAAACGATAGTAGTTCCACCCACTGCTCTACTTCCCAATCCAAAGAAATTCTTCAAAATTGTATATCCCAACACCAATATCCTGCATTATAAAAACCAAACTCGAATATTTTACCCTCTTTATTAACGGAAAGGGAGAACAATCTCGAAAATTTCAATCTAAGCGAGACATTGCAAATCCACCTATCAGACCAAAACATGAAATCATTCCCCTTTCCAACTCGTAATTGAAAATGATTCCTAAAACAATGATCGAAAGCATCATTCGCCCAGTGGTTATTAACCACTCCTCTCCAAATCCAAGATGACTTGTAGGATAACCGGTTGTCCATCAAACTTGATCTATTATCCAAATTATACATACAACACACCAATTTCTTTCACCAAGACTCTTTTTCCGTAGCAAACTTCCATGCCTATTTTCCCAGAAGAGCCCTATTCATAGAGTTTAGATCAATTATACCCAGGTCCCCCTTGACCTTTAGGTCTGCACATAGTCTGCCAAATCACCCAATGGATACAATTTTTTTTTAGATGAACCACCCATAAGAAGTTTCCATAATAGAATTCAGTTTCCTCAGAATCTTATTCGGCATTCTAAACAAAGACATAAAATAAATTGGCAAAACGCTTAAAACCGACTTCACCAACACTGCTTTCCCTGCCTGAGAAAGTATTTGCTTTCCAACCCGCCAATTTCTGGTAACATCTCTGGATTATTGGATCCCACAACGTAATCGAATTTTTCGTCGAACTAAGGGGAAGGCCAAGGTATTCTGTTGGAAAGAATCCAACCGAGCATCCAATCGAGACTGCCCACGCTTTGATGCATGATTCATGAACATTAATACCAAAAATTCTGCTCTTAGACAAATTTAGTTGAAGCTCCGAACACAATTCAAAAATGGTCAATACTCTTCACATTCTTCAGTTGCCCTTCTGAAGCACCACAGAAAATTAACAGATTATCGGCGAACTGCAAATGAGACAGCGGTAATGCCATATCCGTATTGCCGATCTTAAACCCACTGAAGAGACCCATCTTCACCGCCTTAGTCAGCATCAAACTTAACATCTCACCCACTAAATTAAGCAACAACAGTGATAACAGACACCCTTGGCGTAACCCCCTAGACATCTTAAATTTTCAGTCGGGGATCCGTTAACCAATATGGAGATTGAAGGTAAAGATAAACACTTTAAAATCCAAGAACGCCATCGCTCCCCAAACCCCATGTATTCCATCACCTTCAACAAAATCGACCAATTTATTGAATCGTAAGCTCTTTTGAAATCCTCTTTAAAAGCAACACCTTTCAACACTTTTCTTCTCCAAAAATCAATCCCTTCATTTGTTATAAAGGAGCAATCCAGAATCTGCCTCCCTGGTACAAAAGCAAATTGAGTCGGACCTATAAGAGAATCTATGCAAGTCCTCAGTCTTCGTGAGAGCACCTTCAACAAAATTTTGTAAAGAGCGCCAACTAAACTAATAGGCCGATTATCTTACAAACTCTGTGGATTCAATTTTTTGGGTATCAATGAAATAAATGAATGATTCACTTCTTTATCCCACCTCTTCCCTGAATAAAAGTCCTAGAAAAACATTCATATCTCATCCTTCAAAACCGACCAAAATCTCTTTAAAAAACCCAAATTTAAACCATCCGGTCCCGACGCCTTGTTGCTATCCAAGGATGCAATTGCTTCCCAAATTTCCTCCGCAAACATCCTTTCCAACATCGAACTTTACGCTTCCGATAATCTGGCAAACTCAAGGTCCACTTTATCCAATCCCACAGTTGGTTTCCTATTATAGGCCTCCTTGAAAAAACTAAAAACACTCAATTTAATCTGATCAGGGTCTGAAACCCATACACCATTAACTTTCAGTGCCTTCAGAGTATTTACCCTCCCCCTATTCGCTGCACACTGATGAAAATATCTGGAATTTCGATACCCGTCTGAGATCCATTTCTGGTGAGATTTTTGGAACCAGATTAATTCCTCTTTTTTGTACAAATCCCACAACTCCCTCTTTTCCTTCACAATATCATCCCACGACATTGAATTTAACCCCTATTGTATATCTGCCTCGATTTCAAAAATAGCCTTCTCTAGCTCTAAAATCCTTCTCGGCATCAAGAGGTGTCTATTATTCGTCCAACTTCTTATTACTCTCTTCGATTCGTTCAACATTTTTGCAATTCCTCTCCTCCTCTTATCTTTTTTCATCTCTTCCAAAGATGATTCCATCATTTCTTGAAATCTCTGTTCTTCCATCAGATAATTAAAAAGTCTGAACGGTTTCGGACCCCAATTGACCGCACTCCTTTCAAGTAGTATCGTATTATGACCTGATAACGATTTTGGGAGAAGAGTCTGAACAACATCTGGATAAATACTCAAGAATCTTTAATTCACTAAGAACCGATCGAGTTTGACAAAAGCGGGGAAATCCCTATTGTTGCACCACATAAAATTCCCTCTGGATAAAGGAAGATTTGTTAGCTTAGCCTGAAAAACAAATTCACCTAACAATCTCATAGAATGAATATTATGTGATTTTCCTTGCTTCTCCCCCGGGGACAAATATGCCTTAAAGTCCCCCCACACATAAAGGACATTCCATCTGTTATAAGAAAATTAGAAGTTCCTAAAAAAAAAACTCTCCTTTTCTTATTCAACTGTCGGACCATACACGTTGACCAAACAACATTCCTCTCCATTATCCTTAACTTTGCCCTTCACTTCTACGAACCTTCTGAAGATAAACTGATGCTCTATCTCGAACCAATCTTCATCCCAGATACTAATTAAACCACCAGCTGTCCCTTCTGAAGGAGGCGAGATCAACCCTTTTAATTTCCTCCCGCCTAACTTCCTCAGTAACGCCTGATTCACAGACTCCAATTTTGTCTTCTGCAGAAACACAATAACTGGTTTTCTCCTTAAAATCAAGCTCCTCACTGCCCTTACCTTCTCTTTCCTTACGAGGCCCCTGAATTCCAAGATACACATGAAAAAATTGTCATTGAAATGGTTCGACTACCTCTTGCGAAGATGGGAACTCAATTTCCCGCTTCCACAACCTTGTTTTTTTCTCAAATCTTCAAATTTCCTTGCAAATGCTTTTTTATTGAAGTAACCCTTTTTTATTGTTTTTATTATCTTCTTTTGGGTGAGGGTTTGTGTGAGAGATATGAGAGAGTGTACGTACTGTCATAAACTTGAAGAGCTAAAAAGAATCAACTAAAACCACTGATCTGTGCTCCATGGTACTTGTTTATCTAGAACAATGAAGCTTTTGCAACTAATGTCTGTCCATACCCCTAAGCCATCTCTTATGTTTACTTAGATCCTAAAGAAGGCAAAACAGCTTGGAGACTTTTTGCTTGTTGGTATCCATACTGACCACATTGTGAGGTACTTTATTAATATTACGTTTGGTTTATCTTTTATCTCAATTAATACCTGTTAAGTTTTGTTGGAACATTTGAGTTTAGAAGGTTGAGAGCTAACTTTAGATGCAATCTTGTATATTTACCTGCTCTTGTAAAGCGTTTATAAGAAATGACTTACGAGTCTACCTTGCATGCAGAGAGCACAGGGGGATGCCCTACCCAGTTATGCACGTTTACGAGCGCAGTCTTAGTGTGCTAGCTTGCCGTTTTGTTGATGAAGTTATCATTGGTGCACCTTGGGAGATTACGAAGGACATGGTGTGATTTTTTTTATAAAATTTTATATTTATATGCCTATAAGTATATATAAATTAATCCGTGCATACGAATGTATTTCCCTTTGATTATATATCTGTTTCTTTGTAATAATATCAGTTTAGCTTAGTGGCACAAAAACATGCCACTGCTACTGCTGCAACTTGGTTTCTCAATCTTTAAAATTGGATAGCTGTCATGACTTATGAGGTTATTTCTTTAATTGAACAGATTACAACCTTCAACATTTCTATTGTTGTGCATGGGACAGTTGCTGAGAGTAACACTTTGTTGCCTGTAAGTTTACAGACCTCACTTGGATTATCATGACCCCTTGTGTCAATGGATTTAGGGGAATTGCTGATTTTGCTTCATGCAGGGTGAAACTGATCCTTATTCAGTTCCGAAGAGAATGGATATTTTTCGTTTTCTCGAAAGCCCTAAAAGTTTAACCACAAGTTGCGTAGCCGAAAGGATAGTTACCAATCATGAGGCTTACATGGTACTTACTGCACCGACTGCATGAAATTTTTTAAAGCTCACATTTATTGTTAAATTAGCTCTCTTTCATAGCCACAAATGCAAGTTGATTGCAGTTTTTTTGCATTTGTTGTGTTTCATTATCTGATACATAACCAGAAGTGGAAATTGATCGGCAGTTGTTCATATTCTTTCTGACAACATTACTTGCTAGACACCGGCGTTAGGCATAATGTCAAAAAATGCCCCTAATCTTTGATTAAATAACACTGGCGTTAGGCATAATGTCAAAAAGACCCTTAATGTTTGAGTAAAAAGTCACTTTAGTCCTTATTCATTATTTTTTGAGCATTTTGGCCCCCAACATCTCATTTAAGGGGAGAAAGACCCCTATTTTGGAGTGTTGCCTTTTTTTTGACTAACAATTTTCATCCACGGAGGGATTTCTTTGCCTCAAAATGAAATGTTGGGGGCCAAAATGTTTCAAAAAATAGAATAGAGGCCAAAATAACTATTTAATCAAACGTTAGGGTAATTTTTTTTATCATTATGCCCTTGTGTAATAGGTTCTAGATTACATCTGGCTATGGATATGGTTGAAACTTTTTGCATGAGGCATGCATCGAAAGGAGTGTTCTTGTAACATTAATCGCATTCCGTTGATCATTTTCGATTAGAAGGGATCAGTAGTTTTCTTTGTTTTAACTCCTGCATGTAATCTAATTTGTTAGAGTACAAGTTCAGGTGTTTAACATGTGCATCGCATGTATGCATGAGTGTGTTGTTTTTGTATTCCTCTAATATTTGCTGCTGAATTTCGATGTAGAAACGCAATGCCAAAAAGGCCGAGAGAGAGAAGCAATACTATGAAGAATCTTCCGAACCTTCTCTTATTTGTATTATTTTTGTAACTTATTTTTGTTTTTTTCCCAGTTTTATGAGATTTTAAACAAACTTTGGATACTATATGCTAATTTGCTTGTAAAGGTGTGGAGTTCTAAGGAGAGAACATTAAAATTACCACTGTGGTTAAAGGATTCGTTGTTGTTCTTAGAGGTCATGTATACGAGCATCAGCGACTGTAACAAAATGATTGAGCGTTCATTATTATATGGTTGAGATTATTTAGAACATATATTATTTTGTGATAATTTTTTTATACATTTAATTTTCTTTACGTTAAAGGTTTGTCCATTTTTGTGATGAAATTTGATGAGATCCTTTGAACAATTAGAAATTTACACGTAATATATTTAAAAATTAAAAAAACTACTTTAAATTGTAAGGTAACCGTAAGATGGCCTATGTTAAGAATATTTTTAGCTTGTTGATAACATATTTACATATATACTCGAACTCGAATCTTCTAAAAAGAACAATATATTTTATCACTAAATCACTCAATGAATTTAAAATCTCTATTTATTTAAAGTATAATATCACATGATTAAATTAATCTTTATAGCTTGTAACGCTCAAACTTAATGTGCCCATTTTTTTTTAAATATTATTAGTTTTACCTCTATTTATTATTTAGATCTTTCCTTATTTTTACTGTCAAATCTTTGTTCTTTCTTTCTAAGATTATTGTCAGCCGTTCCATGAGAAATGAAACCTTCTACTTGAGACTCAAATCCAACTATAATGTGATTTTTCTTATCATACAAGTATATAAAATCGTATACTTCACCAATAATAAGAGTTTTACAGTCGTACGAAACGATATTTCTGAAGGACGATAAGGAGGAAAAGAACATAACATAATCGATTCTAAGTCTTTTTGGTCATATTTCACCTTCTTAATCCCTAATTTGAGATATTTTTCTTAAAGACAATTGCGTGATCTTCAAGAGTCAAGTTTTCTATCAACTTATGTGAATGTAGACTTTGCTTTAGATGCAATTTGTTAGTTAGCGTTTTCTTTATGTAAAGTTGATCTAATTTCGTCCACAAAGAATCAAATGTCTTTTCTTTTTTCAACAGATTCATCCTGCAAAATTTGATTTGATAAGTACAAACGACTATTAATTATATGTCACGTTTTATCAATAATGTCAAGGAAGCAAACAATGAAGGATCCAAAAATACTTTTGAGACTGAGTACAAATATGTTAATAATAATTTTTTTCCCATGGGTTAGATGCAATTAAAATTCTAGGGTGTGTACTAACATCAAAATGAATAACTAACATAAAAAATTTGGATGCCCACTCTGAATTCCTCTTACATCAGCCACTAGAAGCAACTATCTTTGTTCACCGATAAATAAGTATTCGCTTTCAGCATATTCAATCTATCCAGTTTCTCTATGATATGATCCCCTACGTATAAAATATCCCGTTGTATTAACCAAATAGAAAGGTTTGATGAGATATATATATAAAATAAGTGTCCAAACTATACCTATTTCAAGAATAAGTGTAAAGTATTTTTTGACTCATCTCGGTGCCTAAAGTTACAAACGTTATCACTTTAGGTATTCGGGTCGTCAACGGTGTTAATTTCTCCCGTTAAGTGACATGTGTCACGGTAATTTAAAAAGTTTATTTTAAATTAAAAATTAAAGTTATATATTTTAAAAAAACATAATTTCATTTCAACAGTTAAACACACGTCAGCCGTCGCCCTTTCCCGTTGATGAAGCTCTATCTGACCTCACCTCCCCCGGAGACCAAAACCCCTATGAAATTGTGATCGATCGATGACGACGTTTTATACCTCGCAAATCCTAAGATGAAAATCGCTATCTCACACGATTTCGCCAGTCAATCGACGACAACTGCGGTGGCGTATAATTAGGAGGATGATAAGGATTGCGTCGATAGCAATGGCAACGGGTTAATTTAATAGAAATTAGTTTTTTTATATATTCTTAATATTAAAAAAATAAATTTTAAATTTTAAAATCACCAGATTGTGGCACGTCACTTAACGGAAGAAATTAATGTTGTTGACAGTCAGAGCACCTAAAATGGTAATATTTACAAAGTTAGACACCATCATGAGTCTAAAAAAATCCTTTAAACACCTATTTATGATAATTGAACACCTCCTCTCGGTTAGCAACGAATCAAAGAAAAACCAAAAACATTTTGTTGAGAGAGAGGAAATAGAGAGAGCCGAATAAGGTGCCCATTTTCTTTTAAAAATACCAAATGGGTTAATTACAACCCAAAGCCCCATATTTTTAAAGAGTTTCCAAATAGACTTGTAAACTTACCAGCACTTCAATTTAACCCAATTTTTTGGTGTTACAGTTTGGGCACTTATTTTATATTGAAGCATACATACATGCATGAGAGGAGTAAAGCATCAAGCTTTAGAGAGGTAAAGGACATTAATCCTACATTAAAAAAAGACGTTTTAAAATTTAAAAGTGATGGCTATCTTATCATACATGTTTCTTGAAAAAAAGAATATTGAAACTGTGATCAGAAATTTAAATAGCGGTCCACTACCATAATAGTGATTGTTGGTGGTAAAAATATTGTCTGAAACTATTATTTCATAACCGTAATACCCACAATGAACACAATAACATTCATTATTGTCGTAATTATGATAAATGTAATACAATCAAGAACGCAACTGCAATCACTTTTTAAATCTAGGAACGATATTTAAAGCAGAATTAGGTCAAAAGCCTCGCAATGGCATGGAATTTGCACCGCGTGTTACATAGACATGGCCGTGGGATGTCACTTGTGGGACATGCGCATTCCTTGACTCTTTCTCGCCACCTCGCCCACCTCTTTCATTTCTCTGCCCTCACCACCACATATGGATCGAGAGGGGCGGGTGGAAACAATCACCTCAAAATCTTAAAATTACTATAAATTTTAGATTTTTTTTAGATTTTTTTTAGATTTTTTCTATTAAAATTCTGTTTCACTCTAGAATTTTATCTATTTGTTACCTTCTAAAACTTTAGAAGTTCTAACATAAAATTTTATGCTCGTTCCTGCCCACCACTCCAAAATGGCACGTGAACCTCATTGCCGCTCTTGTCTTTTTTCTACATTTATTTTTTTGTTCACCTTTCTATTTGTTATTTATAAAGACTAAGGGGTTGTTTGTTTGGCTCTGAATGAAACCATTCAGCGTTGAATGTTGAACCGTTTAACATTCAGCGTATTTGTTTCTCACCTCTGAATGATTTAGCAAAACAGTGTTGAATGATTCAGCATCAAAGTACATTCTGAATTATTCAGAGTCATTATCAAACAACATGTCACATTCAGAGCTAATTCATACAGAGCCTCTGAATCATTCAACAATTGAATCATTAAGCACTAAATCATTCTGAAGTAAACAAACAATCCCTAAGAGTACCTCCAAGTCTGTGCATGCACCACCCACTTCAGTTCCCCAGTCTCTCACATTCGTTTCTATCAATAAAAATAAGCTCTCATTCGTGCACTCGTCATCTCTAATGAAGTTCGCTAGCAATTCGTTAATTTTTTTAGGATAAACTACATAAATGTCCACTTAATTATAGGTTAGGTTGCGAAATGACCATAATTTTTAAATTTGCCACAAAATATCACTGAACTATTTAAATGAGTTCAAAATAACCCCATGACTTTAACATTTAACGAGATGCCTACGTGATAGTTAAAAAATTGGTATAATTAGGGCACGAGTACTTATAAAGTTACATATTAGCGGCGCTAGCACCCTACTTTGTTATCTTCCATTTTGGTCACTGCTTGTATATAATTTGTTTCCTTGGATTTTCATTTAATTCAATTTGTTCTTGATTTTGTTTTTAATTTGTCTAATGCCTTAATTTGGGCATTAACTTTAAAATCTTTTATTCTACTCATGTATTAAATTTGTAGATTAAATTCCCTAGATTTTAAAATTAATCAATTTGATCACCAAGATTAACTTTAATTCATAATTTTTAATTAGATCCTAATTTCAATTTAATTTAATAAATTTATTTCTCCAATCAAATTGTGACATATGTCACAATCTTATGATTATAATTTGAATATTAACTATAATATATATATATATATATATATATATATATATCATTAATTATAATATAATATATATTATAATTTGAATATTAAATTATTTTTTAATGATTTCATATATTATATATAATCATCAAAAAAAAATATGAAAACAATAAATTTAGTTTAAAAATATTAAAATATTAAAGCAATTACAAATAAACTATTAGATTTATTTTAGTGGTTTAAGTGTTGTCATATTCTCATTGGTCGGTATAAGGTTGACGTTAGCTGGAGCTTGAGGAAGTTCCAACTAAGGGAGGAAGGTGCCGGTGTGCTTGCATCCACGCAGAGTGATTCCAAGATTTCGACTTCCTGGATTTGGAGTGAGATTCGGGATAAGAGGCCCCATGTCCTTTGGCAAAGACTAATTTGGTTTCCTATGCATACTCCTAAACATGCTTTTATTGCATGGTTGGCTGTTTTGGATCGTCTTCCTATGATAGGTTGATTAAGATGAATATAATGGTTGATTTGATTTGCGGAGATGCCCCTGAGTCGAGGTGTCATTTATTTTTTGACTGCTCTTTGTCTCGCTGCATATGGGAGAGGGTTTTGCAGCTTTGTTCGGTTCTCACAAGGGACCTTGAATTGGCTTGGGCTTGCAGTCTGAAAGATGAGACTGAATACCTTCATCCTCAAAACCCCACTTGTATTGTGTTTGGGATGAAAGAAATTGTAGAGAATTCAAGGGTATAGTTCGGTCTGCTGATGTGGTTTCTGTTGTTGCTCGAGAAATTGTTGAGATTAAAGTCAAGAGTAGGTGTATAGATTTTTCTAAAAGAGCAAATGATAGGATTTGTAATGCTTGGGGGATAGTTTAGTTGGAGTTCTTTTTTTGCTTGGTGCAGGTGATTTTTTGTAATATGCTCCTGGCTGTTTCTTGTATCAGTTTTTCAGCTTAATTAAAACAAAATTTGGATGTAGTACACCAAAGGTCCTAGACTATGATCAAATGATCATTTTACTCACTAAAGTTTCAAAATTAAAAAGTAATCATTAAACCTAT